CTGATAACCGCTTCAGCCGAGTCAAGAGCTTGATCCTGTGCTGTCTCTTGAGAGCCTCTTTCGATTGCATGTCTTCCTGCCCTTTCAGTTCCGCTTCTAGCCCTTCTGCTGTCACTTCCGACGCTTACCTTAGGGGTTGCTCCCGCATGTGTTAAGGCGTCGGGCCAGGTTATCATTGAATTAGGAAGCCATGTTTTTTCTTTTAATAACTGACTTATACGTCCACCGTCTTTCGATTTTTTCGGGAAATGTATTCATGATGCTAAGAGGTCTAGCTTCGGCAAATGGACCTCCCTTGTTTCTGGGACCTGGTCCGTGGTGTGTAGATATATGACACAAACACGTATATATGTATATGTATATATATATATATATATATATATATATATATATATATATATATATATATTTGTATATGCATATATATGTATATGTATAGATGTATAGGTATATATATGTATAGGTATATATTTATCTGTATATGTTTATATATGTATATGTATAAATGTATAGGTATATGTATGTATGTATATATGTATAGGTATAAATATGCATGCATATATGTCTAGGTATAAATATGCATGTATATATGTATAGGTATAAATATGCATGCATATATGTCTAGGTATAAATATGCTTGTATATATGTATATGTATATATGTATAGGTATATATATGTACATGTATATAGGTATAGGTATATATGTATAGGTATATATATGTGTATATATATGTATATTTATTTATTTATTTATTTAAGTATATGTATAATTATGTATATATAAATATACATGCATACACACATCTATATATGTACATGTGTGTATATGCACACATACAAATTCACATACATATATACACATAATCGCAAGTGATTTTCCTTCGGGAATCGTAACAGCAACGCAGCTACGAACATTTTATTTTCTTCGGACGTTTCGAAGTTACTAACTTCATCATCAGTGCTAAACTGATAAAAGCATAGACATAAGCAAAAATAGGAAGGATTACAAAAAATAAAAAAAATGTTCCTAATAATATAAAAGGCTATACGAGCAGTCTAAAAGGGGGGAGGGGTCATTTAAAAGAAATTATATCTAAATGAGCAAAACAAGATGAAGCAGTGTAATTATTAACTTATAGCATTTTTATTGTGGAATTTAATAAGTTTAAACAGGCTATAAAACAAATGGTAAAATGGAAAGTAAAATAACCAATGAATGTAAAACCATTATTATAAAAACTTACATAGGAAAATCTGCGCTTATTGTGCATGTAATGGCATGCAGTTTTTGTACTGCCAAGGTCTAGTTTCAGTGAGAGTTACATTTCGAGCATAAAAATCTCAGGGCAAATGGTAAAGGCTTAGTTTTATTCCAAAGAGAACACATGATGGTAGTTGTCTTGAAAATGAATTTAAAATCACTTTGGAAGAATGTGTCATTAAATACTTTTTGAAGCTCTTTTCTCATGTTAAAACTTAAATGTCCAAGGTATGGAAGTGTAACATGACGTAGGTCTTTTTCAAGTAATAACACCGGCGTAGAAGGGAAGTGTTTCTTGTTAGGATAATTCCTAGGGTGTGAATTCTCTGTGCAGTAATTGAGTAAGAATTCCACCTCTTTGTCAAAACCAACGTAATCAGAGTAGATGCTGTATCCTCTGTTGATCGGTGTTAAAGTGCTATTGAGTTTAAATAGCTTCGGGGAGAGGCTTGAGTAGTTTCTACCTTAGATTAGGGTGTTTAATGTTTAGACAAGAAACCAACTGTTCAACTTGAGGAAAGTTTTTAAAAAGAAGGTATGCATCATCCACGTATCTGCGGTACTAATTTGGTTTGGATCCATCAGGGCATTGATATTTGTTCCTGATAGCATAGACAGGCATTGGCATAGGTGGGACCCAAGGGAGAACCCATCGCCACGCCATCTGTTTGTGTGTACAAGTTGCCATTGAAAGTGAATACTGAATCAACGGTGCCAATTCTTGTGGTTTTGTGATTTGCTTTTCATTTAGATGATGCGGATATTCGTTTGAATTTAAGAGTTCACATACAATAAGGTTGGTGATCTCTTCTAATGGGACGTTTGTGAAAAGTGATTGTATACCTACACTGGCCATAACAACAGGCTCAAAGTAGTTATATCAACAACAAAATCTTTTGTTCTCAACAGCACATTATTTTTTTGTCAGAGGGGTTAATATTGGTACTAAGAACTTGGCTAAATTATAGTTGAAAATACAATTGGTGATATACTAGTTCTAATTGGTTACTCATTTAGTGAATTTTGGGAAGACCATAAAGGACACCTGGCCTTGACACAGACGCAAATAAGTTGTAGAATCTTGTATGCTGCGGAGGAAGCGGTGAAATTTGTCTTCCTGTCTTAAAATGTGGGCAGCAGGGTTGGTTTTATCATTTGAAATGTGATTGGGTTTTATGTTGGATTCCTCTGTTTGTGATTATCAAGGTATTATCATCCCGAGATTAGACAAAAGGGTCAGTTGGTGGGATTTTGTCCGAGTGTGTTGGATCTTCGTTCACACATATATATGTATATATATGTATATATATATATATATATATATATATATATATATATATATATATATATATATATATGTGTGTATATATATACATGTAAAAATATACATGTATTTGTATATATCTACCTATCTATCCATCTATTTATATATTATGTAATATATATAGTATGTATTATATATATGTATTATATATATGTATTATATATATGTATTATATATATGCATTATATATATGCATTATATATATGCATTATATATATGCATTATATATATGTATTATATATATGCATTATATATATGTAT